GTTCAGCAGTGAGATCCGCAGTCACAAAATTAGAGGGGAATAACCCCATGCCTTGATGGGTTTCACCCTTCCACCAGTTGGGGTCACTAAGAGAAACAAGAAAGAATGCTTTACTATAACAAAGAACTTTTATTTCTATGTATCTTTACCTTTTATAGTGTTTAACCTATATTATTACCAGATCTGAAGCTCACAACAATCCAATGGAGGAAGTGAATGTATCATTATTACAAATTAGAGATGAGGCCTCAGAGAAGATAAGACACTATTAAATACACAGTTCTTTCTCATATTCTGGAAGGCTGGCGAACACTTCGAGGATCTAGTACAAGGCTCTGAACTCTCTCCCTCAAACAGAGGTCCCCACACTTGAAAACTGTCAACTTCGAATGGTTCATAGGCTCCCGCGAGAGAATCCTTTATAATAAGATAGATGGTAGGCTCTGAATCCAGACCTCCATTCCTAATCAGTCCTCTTTCTAGCACACATTAGGAAACTTTCCCCCCCACAAGAGAACACACATGACAGTAACACCATTTATAGCACAAAATGTTCACAAGGAACACACTCCCAGGTGCGTACCCACACTAACCACTGGATCCCCGGCACCTAGGATAAGGAAAGCTAGCAAGTGCTCAATAAATACTTTTTGAATGAATGAATGACCAAGGTTTTGTGCAACTTCATGCTAACCAGCTCAAACTTTACTTCATTTTCTTCCATTCAAGAAAACATATTAGTATGTAAGTGTGATACTATAAGAATAATCTTAAATGTATTTGAATTGATCTTTAAAAACCACATGCAGGGACTTCCCTGGTGGCACAGGGGATAAGACTCCATGCTCCCAATGCAGGGGGCCCAGGTTCAATCCCTGGTCAGGGAACTAGATTCCACATGCATGCCACAACTAAGAGTTCACACACCACAGCTAAGGAGCCCATGTGCCGCAACTAAGGCCTGGAGCCACAACTAAGGAGCCCGCCTGCCACAACTAAGAAGCCCGTGTGCTGCAACTAAGGAGCCAGTGAGCCACACTGAGGAGCCCGCCTGCTGCAACTAAGACCCGGTGCGACCAAATAAATAGAAACATAAATAGTAAAATGAAACAAACAAAAAAACCTAACGCATTTATCCGACCTCAAAAACAAAGATTTAGGCTTCCCTGGTGGCACAGCGGTTAAGAATCCGCCTGCCAAGGCAGGGGAGACAGGTTCGAGCCCTGGTCTGGGAAGATCCCACATGCCGCACAGCAACTAAGCCCGTGCACCACAAGTACTGAGCCCGCGTGCTAGAGCCCATGAGACACAGCTACTGAGCCCGCGTGCCACAATTACTGAAGCCTGCACACCTAGAGCCCATGCTCCGCAACAAGAGAAGCCACTGCAATGAGAAGCCCGCACACCGCAATGAAGAGCAGCCCCCGCTCGCCACAACCAGAGAAAGCCCGCATGCAGCAACAAAGACCCAATGCAGCCAAAAATAAATAAAATAAATAAAAATTTATATAAAAAAAAAACTGCCAGGTCAGCTCTCCCTTTAAAAAAAATAAAGATTAAAAAACACTTGCAAATTTTAGCACTTCATTATGAGTAATAATCATCAGTAACAACTAATTTTCAAGTAAACATAAAGCTGTAGTAAAAAAACAGATGCACTGTATCACCTCCCCTATGATATAATGTATATAACACCATGTAAAATGAATCTGTTCCACACTGATATACTATTCTGTGCAAATAAATTAATTCAATATATTTTGTATTTCTTATAAATTCCATATATATATATATATATATATATATTTGGTGTATTTTCTAAAATCTTAACCTTTTTTTTTTTGTACTAATTTAACAATCTATATTATAAGATGGAACCAAAAATGAATAGAGTAAACTGGGCCTCCAAGACATATAAAATCCATTTAAATGATAGATGAGGAAAAATTAAGCTACAAAATACGAATCCAGACAGTATGACACAAGCAAAGCAACCGACCGTCCTACAGAAAAACTACCTGCATCAGTATTTGATTTTATTACGTTTGATAAGGCATTCAGCAAGAATAATATGAAACACAGAATATGTTATATATTTTCAAATGAATGTTCAACTTAATAGTAACCATCACCTGTCATCAAGAACTGTAATAATTTCTCCAGCTTTAAAAGTAAGTTCGTTATCTTCAGCAGCTTCAAAGTCGTATATAGCACGAACTTTTCGGCCTTCGTGTTGGTGGTTAGTTAAGAGATTAGATGTGCTTGGATACAAACTGGAAAGGGTGGTTGACTGCTGCCTTTGTTCCTTCAGCGACAACTCAATGGCTGGAAAATAATGGGTTTAAAAAGACCCAAAATGTTAATATACCCAGCAATCCTAAGAAGTACAAAAAGATATCTGAAGGTAAAAAGTATTCTTCTAATAATGTAGAGGGAAACTAGGACATATCCTGATATAATATACTGAACAAAAATGTCATCAATTTTATTCATTCATTCACACTGAGAGCTTAAAAAATAAATAAACTAAAAAAAAAAAACAACAGCATGATGACTATTTTTACTGAACAGGTACAATTTTAAATATTCTGGGTAATAAAAAGACATAAACTCAAATCAATTTTGTTTAATTTAGCTGCAGATATTTTATATTTTCTTTCATCTTTTCAATGTATTTCTGTAGCTTAAGTTTACCAAATAATAACCAAAATCACTTGGGAAGTCCAAAGCCCCAAGCTTGAGTCCTTCACTGGGGTCTTACTAAATAGGAGTCTCAAAGGTAGTATGTGAGAACCTACATTTTATTGTTCCAAAGGTCATTCTTAGGTAATCAGTCTAAGAACTGGAATTTGGAAATAACTACAGTAAAGTCTCACCTAACAAATCCCCCAAAATAGATTCCAAATGTGTCTGCTCTATCTCCTCCCCTAATACAGGGCATCACCATGTGTCACACAGGCTCTGTAACATAATCTTAATGAATTGACTACCCTGCTTTCAGTGCAACACATAACCCCGTCTTCCCTTCCATCTCTGTTCTAGATGAATAAAAGACCAGATGGGAAAATAAAACTTTAAAATTATCATAGAAAAATATCTTTCAGGATCCTGCGGGAGAGGAAAATATCTTAAGACATTAAAAAAAAAACCCAAAATCATAAAAGAAAAGCAAAAATTTTGACTACATGAAAATTTAAAACTTGTTTAATAAAACATGCCATTATCAAAGTTTAAATTGTAAGCCAAACCCTAATAGTAGATATCTATAATAGATATAACAGGCAAAAGATTAACATCCAAAATAAAGATGTTCTATACATTATTAGAAAAAAAATAGAAAGACAGACGATCAGAACAGCTAATAAACGTACAAAAAAGGACTGAACCTCACTAGCAATCAACAAAATAAAAATTAAAAACAACTAGGTATCATTTCAAACCCATCAGATTCACAAAAATTAAACTCTGACAATAGCAAATGTCATGAGACTAAAAAGAATAAGTGAATAATAAAAGCTTTTATACACTGCTGATGGAAAAGGAAATACTACAACTATTTAGCAAAGTTAAAGATGTACCTACTCCATAAGCCAACAATACCACAAAACAAAATCTTTCTCACACACACACACACATGAGAAGGTGGACAAGGATACCCAGTGCAGCTTACTTGTTATAGTAAAAAAAAAATCAGAAAACCCAGCTGTCCATCAGTAGGAGGATAAATTATAGCAGATATTTATTAGTTCACTGGAATATTACACAGCAGTTAAAACAGATGAACTTGATATACATGTCTCATTATGAACAGATCTCAAACATATTGTTGCATGAAGAAAACAAGTTGTAGATGATACCTAGAGTACACTATTTATGAAAAAGAATTTGTTGGACACAAAAAAGTATTTGGTATTGTTTATGGACACATAGTGTAGTAAAAACATTATAGAAAAATAGACTGAACGGACATACACAATAGCAGTTGCCTCGGAAGAGGAGAGGAAAAAAGTGACACTGAAGAGAGGAACAAAGGAGAACAAGTAGATTTCAACTTCAGCTGTGAACTCCTATTTCTTTTATTTTTAAATATCTTGGGGGAAAATAAACATCAAGTAAGAGACCTATCTTCTTTCCATGATCAGGGACTTAAAAATGTACCTTTTGCTAAATCTTCTTCTTCTTTTTTGTTAGCCACAGTGCCAGGATCCTTGGCTACCAGAGCCGGGCTTGCTTTTGCTTGTTCTGCAGCCTAACACACAAAAAAGGAAAATGATATTTGAAAGTTGTTCTCAATTTTCCTACCCCCAACTAATCTAAGAACTCACAAGACCCTTCCCATCAATCCACCACAGACTTCTGAACAAGAAAGAAATCTGAACCTGAGCAGCCTCCTCTTTGAAAGGAGCCAGAGAACAGGTAGAACTGGAGAAAACAGACTGAGAGCGTTAGTTTTCTTAGGGTTAACAGTCCAGCCACACTCTCCCAGGTTTGCGTGAAGAGGTTAAACCAGAAGCAGACACTATGCAAACCAGAGAAGACAGACTAGAGGAGATTTCAACAAAAAGGGGTTGAGAGTGGGAAGGAGATGACCACTTTAAAAACAAGCGTTTTTAAAATTTTTAAAATATCTATTCAAGAGTTTTACTGTTTCCTTCCAGATCAAAAGTCAGGATGTTATCTTTAGGAATCCAATTGATATACAGTAATACAAATGCTCATAAAATTATACTATTTTCGGGCTTCCCTGGTGGCGCAGTGGTTGAGAGTCCGCCTGCCGATGCAGGGAACACGGGTTCGTGCCCCGGTCCGGGAAGATCCCACATGCCGCGGAGCGGCTGGGCCCGTGAGCCATGGCCGCTGAGCCTGTGCGTCCGGAGCCTGTGCTCCGCAACGGGAGAGGTGGCAACAGTGAGAGGCCCGCTTACCACACACAAAAAAAAATTATACTATTTTCTAAACCAAAATACTAGCAGTTAATTTTTACAATATATTACTGTCCCTCTTAAACATATTTTGTATATAAGGTAGTGTACAAGTAAATAAATACATACATTGATTCACACAGAATTACAAGCTTCTAAAGTCTTAATGGCTGCTGAGTTTTTGTGTGGCCATTGAGGCCAATCAGACTCCAGCCTCATTTTTTCAACCATTCTATCAGTTACCAGAAACTGTTGGCACACACACACACACACACACACACACACACACACACACACATATGCTGTGACACACTTTTGCTTCTACTCATGACGTCCTCCCCTCTGGCTCACTGTACTCCATCCACATTGTTTCCTAGTGAGATCCAACCCACCAGTCAGTGAACAGCTGAAAATCACTTTCTCAGTGAAACATTCCTAAACCCTCTCATTAAGCCTTCCCTCCTCTGTGCCCCTCTAGTAACACTTTTAAACAAGGTATTATATGATTCGGGTAGTTAAGGACAGTTAAGGACGCAAGCTGGGGAATCAGGCTAATGGGGAGTCAGGCTAATGCGGTTCAAACCCCAGATGCACCACCTTCTAACACATGAACCTGAGCGCCTAAAAGCCTCCTTTGGCCTCAAGTTCCTCATCTACGAAATGAGGACAACAATGGCCCACACACCACAGGCTGTCATGAGGATTAAATCAGCACATGTAGCTTCCAAAATGAGGGCCATTCAGGGTTTAAATCACAGAGTATACAACGTTGTCTCCTGGGCTTAAAATGTATGCAGAGGTGATACATGCCATACATGTGATAACTAAAGCACAAAGGGTGCTGAAGTAGGAAGTAAATAAACTCTCTACAGTTGCAAGGTTTCTACATTTTATGTGAAATAATTCGCTATTAACTCAAAATAGACTGTGACAAGTTACAAATGTATACTGTAATTCCCAAAGCCATCAATTAAGAAAAATGAAATTCTAAAAAATATTCAAATTACCAAATGCATAGCACTTAGATCACTGCCCAGTACATAGTAACAGGCAATGAATCTCAGCTCCTATTATAATTCTCTGCTTACATGTCTGTCTCCATAACCAGGCTGCATGCTCCTTGAGGGTATATGGGGCTAAATATTATAAGAGATCATAAATGATTGTTGAGTAAATGAAAGGCAAAATATTCAACATTATAGTAAATACCGTGCTATAGTCTTCACTTAATATATTTATAATGTCAAACAAATACACAAGGCATTTATTTTTAGAAAAGCTGATTAGAAGAGAGCTTTTGTATTCAATGAATAGAACTTCAAGCACTCTCAATCTGACCCACCTCTAGTTGTAATCTTCCTTAAATAAAAATGTTTTAATCATCATACACTTCTGAAAATTGAACGTATGCTTCATCAGAGGTAACCTTTATCGTTATATATGAATTTTTTTTTCACAACTTGTGAACTTCACAAAATAGACATATTGATCTTTTGTGGTCTGAGAAGGGATCTCTATTGGTCAAGTAGGAAGTGCAGAAACAAGCTATATTAAGCCCTACATTCCTGAACTGCTCTGTCTCTTTTCAAAGTTCCTTTCTATCATCAGGTTCCAAGTATAGCAACGCTACTTGTCTGATTAACCAGTCAAACACAGTAGCAGTGCCAGTATCACTTCGACCTCAGTGTCCAAAGTCAGTGCTCAAGAGAACCACAGCAGCAAAAGTTAGGTGACTCAAGTATCACTTTTCTTAATATTTTTATATTATTTTCTTCTGTACTTGGATGAAAAAATATACTTTAAAAAATTCTCTTGTTTCCAGAACCTTTTTTTAAAATATGCTAACAAAGGTCTAGTCTGATTAAAATGTAGTAATGGCTTAAGCAACTAAGTGACTGTAAGATTTGGAGGGACTTCTGCAGTTGATCCCAGATGATACATTTTTTTTTTTTAATTAAACATGAAGCTCTTTACAAACACGGTTTTCAACGGAAACCTCTTCAGAAACTACTATTAAAAAAATCACCATTCTACCTCATCATAGGTTACTTTATACGCATTTTACATATTTCTTGTGGTTGAAAGACAGCAACTATAACAAAATGAGCTTTCACATATGTTATAAGATCTAGATGAAAAAAAGAAAAGTAACTCTTAACTTTACTATTGCTGATCTACATCCTGAATCTTTTGAACAGGAGAGTAGTCTCACATCTACACCAATTAGTACATAAACGCTCTTGCCAGTGTTCACTCCACTTCTTGTCCTTCGAAGCCTAGTCCGGACAGACACATATCTACTAACCTCAATATCAAACGGAAGGCAGGATCGTGTAGTGGAAGGAACACTGGACTGAGAGTCAGGAGGCCTGTGTCCTAGTTCCAGCTCTGTCAACTACTAGCTGTGGCCCTGGGCAAGTCACTTAACCATTCTGGGTCTCAGTATCCTCATCTGTAAAATGAGGGGATTAGGTTAGAGGATCACTAGAGTTGTTCCCACAACTATCTGAGATTCTAGGTTAACCAAACAAAGCTACGTATCAAACGGATCAGTAACTCTTCTTCCTTCTCTTACAGGAACAAGTTCCTTTGTGGACTGAAATGCAGTTTTCACCTGCACTGAAAGCTGTCCTCAAGAGTCGTGCTGCTCAAAACAGTCATCAGGGGGCTTGTTAAAATGGACACAATGAATCCACTGCTTGGAGGCACATTTCCACCCGTGAATGAGATGTTACAGTTCCCACAAGCTTCCAGGTGGTGATGATGATGGCCAACCAACCACACTGTAAGTAACAAGCTCCGGAACAGGTTCTCAGAATACAGAACCTGCCATTCCACTAAGCAACTACACTCTTTGGCTCTCCATAGTGAGTCTACTCTTCGATAATTAAACAGTGCTTCTATTGTCAAGGATATCTTATTATAAGATATCTTGGATTATTCTGCATAAAATTATTCCTTAATTATACAGATTTAGAAATTACTCTGAGGTAGTAAAAATGAGCTATCAATTATGAATGACTACTTCTCAAAGATGTAATTCATCACTGTAAAACTATTCACAAGCCAAATTTTTTCAAGTAAGAAGAAAAATATCCTCTCCTTCATCTCCAAAATATATTTCTAGGTTTTCACATCTCAAGAGTACCTAGATAAATTAGAAGTGCCTTGGGAAGAAAGTCTAGATAAGTCTGGATGAATCACTTCATAATTTCCTTGAAACGGTCAAAACCCTGAATAGGAGCCCTCTACAACTAAGAGTTTTCTGCTCATGCTTTCACATCACTCATTATATTCTACCCCAAGCCATACAGTGGGGAAAGACAGTGCAGTAAGTTACCACACACTTTAAGCCTACTTAGTTAGCTGGACATCCTAAAGGATGGTTACTAAGAGAAAAGGAATAAAAGAGATAATCTTCCTTTTTTTTTCCTATATGACATAAATTAGAGATTGAGCTCATTACATAAATAATATTTTTTAAAGGCAAGTTAAGTCTTTCAGTCAATCATATTTATTAGGAAAAAGAAAGAAGACACTTACGTGCTGGTCAGCTCTTAAGGGGAATTTCTCTTCCCAATGACCCACTTTTATCTCCCTACCATTTTTTAATACAAGTGCTCATAAATTTCATAATCCAAAGAACCTCTAAACACATCCTTAAATTTTAAGGAAACCTGATTTTTGAGCTGTCATTCTTTGTACATAAAATTACAGCACGAAGAGCATTTAACAAGAATGTCAGTATTACCTAATAAAGCAATTTTGTCTGTATTATTAAAATTATATTAAAAAATTTTTAATTGCAAAAAGGTTAAATGAATTCATTAATAAAGAAGGAGAAACAGTGGGGAAATAGAAGTTGGAACACATTAACATTCCACTATATTTTTCTGGCAACTTTATATGCAAGATTATTATTATTAACAAAAATTCATCTGGAGTATTAAAAACTACCTGGGTTTTGAAGAAAAAAAAAAAAACTCAAACATAGCTACTTTAGAGAAACGAACTGTAGCACACACATAAATTTATATAAAATACCTGAGAGCCAATAGCTGGAAACGTAACACCTTGTTCCTTAAGGTTCTTAATCATTGCTGATATTAGACTAAGCTGTGGATCATTCTTAAATTCATCCGTCCATTCAACCATAAGAGCCTTTAATTTTTCACACACTTTAGGATGACCCTTAAAAACAGAGAAAAAAATTAATAAAAAAGCACTAATTTCCTGGCAAATGATTTAATACAGATACCGTAAATATAAAACTTATAAAATGTTGCAGATCTCTTTTTAAATCATAAATTATCCCTAGCTATAGATGACACATAAGAAAATACAGATGGTTACTAGAAATAAACTAGTTTTATTTTCACACTATGAAAAAAAATAGATACCATCACATACCTCATAACATATTAAAACATTAGATATATAGTAACTTATTCTGGAGGTCAGAAAGACAGGACTTTTCAGAGTATTTTGCAACTAAGCAAGTGTTGTCTATGAGGAAGACATAGAAAAGTTTGTTTTCTTTTTTGCAGACCAATGAAAAATAAGTTGGAAAGAGAGAATAAATAGTACAATTCCTTTATTCCTAATTCCTGACTTTTAATGTGCATGGCTGTGTTTTTACCCAGTTACTTAATTATCTGAGGCCTGGCATGAGGTCTACTATATGCTGATATTCCTGGAAACTTCAATTCTTCAAAATAACATTTCCCCCTTAAGTATAAAACCAATATGTTCACTGTAAAATATCTGAAAAATAAAGAGTTCTTTCTCCTATACGCAACTGTTTGCTTTTTTTTTTAAACTGTTTGCTTTTTAAAGTTCTTCACGTTACTAAATACTGAGTACAAATCTTCAATTAAGGAAAATATTACATTAGAATCTCTTCATAAACCGTTGTACATTTTGATGGACATTCAGGACATCAAAAGAATGGTAAATAATTAGCACAAAATACCTAAATATAACTGAATAAAGCAGAACAGGAAAAAATTATCACATAACCATGTTCTAAAAGGAGTACAGAATTTTAAATTCTTATTTATGTACTATTGCCTACTAAAATCTGGAAATACTCATTTTTTCCAAAAAACATGAAGCATTTTCCCTTTTAACACTTAAAACATTTTTATATATAATTATCCCCCCAAAAAAGGCCAGAAATAATTACCTTTAAAATGCATGAATTTTTACTGAGAAAACTCACATATTACTTAGTAAATTAAAAATTTTAAATTCCTTAATTGCTGGATTTGAATTTTTAACTCTACATTCAGTTAAGTAGATGACCTCTGTGACTAAAAAAAAAATATGGTTAAAAAACTGTGCCTAAAGTAAACTGGTACCTCTTAATCAGAGAAATACACATATTTTTCATCAGAAGAAAGGAATGGTGAAGAAGAGGTTAAATATATTCTAATTTGGCTTGACCAAAACCAAATCTCCAAGTTATATAAATGTGTAGTCTCTTTAGCAAAACCTAACATGGACTTATACATGGGATAGACATAGCCTAGAAAGAGTTAATGTAAAGAACTGAACAATAAAATATATGAAGAAAGAAGACAGTGTTAATTCATTTCTAGAAATAATGTGCCTTACCTTGTTTAATACGTTGCTTACTTCACTAGCAAAATCTCTTGAACATACTTCTAAGTGAAAAATTTTGCCACAATTTGATACACACGCTCCTAGAAGCTAAAAGTATAAAATAGGGAGTTAAAAGGGCTCAATTTCGGTAGACAATTTTGCGGTAGATCTTGAAATGAAACCACTCACAGTCAGAGCCTGCATAGCAACATGAGGATCTTTATGGTTCACCCTCCTCATAATAGACCGAAGACAATCTTTAGGTCTAAAAAATGAGAAATGTAACAATTAGTAGTACATTCTACTTTTTTCCCCCTTAACTATAAAAGGCAATAGACTATGATACAAAAGGGAGAATATGGTAGAGAAGTTTAATTCTTACTAATGACACAATTGAAAAACTGTACACTAAAAAGTTCCTTTAAATTTTTCAAACAAAATTAACAGGCTCTCTTCCTTAACGATCATAGATAAGGCATTTTGGGCTAATTCTAGATGGAAAGTTTTGAAAATAAAATGACAGACCAAGACTTCCACTTCCAGTCATGATGGAATAACTGGAACCAGACTTACACTCCTGTTGTAAATAATTAGAAAACTGGAAAAATATATTTAAAATACATTTGGGACATTAGGCCACAGGTAGCGCTGAATGATGATCTCTAAGAAAGAACACAAATTAGATAAACAGACGTCTGCCTCAACTTTCTACCCAGGGGCACTTTCCAGGTAGCGAAATAGGCTTTCTGTCTAAAGGCAGTTTCTGGATCTCAGCACAGAGAAGCTGATCCCAGGAAGATAGTGGTGATCTCACTGAACTGAGGGGACAGAAATCAGAATTCCGGCAGGCTGTGGGAGCTAGAATTTGCAGGACAGAGTAGAGGAGCTATATGAAGAAAGAGTGCTAGATACCTGCATGGGGTCCACTGAGGTCTGCTGCCCACCAGGCTGGACAAAAAGTGACTGAGAGCTCTACGTTGAAGGGTTCCCAAAACTCACACAGCTGTCAGAGCTCATACCAAAGTGGACAGTCCTTGCAGCAGAGCACTTAGGCCTTGGTGATGGGGCTACACCATCCCAAAAGACTATCCTAAATCCATCTAATAACAGCTTAATAAACAAGCCACAGAAGAATAAAATTGATCCAGGTGTAACCTCTATAAGAATCAAGTCCAATATTCTTTAACAGGAGTATGACAAAACCTGGCATTCAACAATATGAAATTCATAATACTAAGCATTCAATCAAAAATTACCAGATGTGACACGAAGCAGGAAGAAGTGACACTTAACTAGGAGAAAACTCAGTCAAATGAAAATGTGGAAATTATATAAGCTATTTTAAGTATGCTCAAGGATGTACAAGGAATCATCAACATAGCAAAGGAAAGAAGTGGTATACAAAAAAGAACCCGATAAAACTTCCAGAGAAGAAAAATATATAAAATGAACTAATTAATTAACTAATTGGATGAAATTAACCTGATAGAAATGGAAGGACGTATCTAATAAGGGATTAATATCCGGAATATATAAAGGGGTCCTACCTCTCAACAACACAAAAATGATAATCCAATTCAAAAATGGGCAAAAGACTCAAACAGACATTTCTCCAAAGAAGATATACAAATGGCCAGAAAGCACATGAAAAACCGCTCAGCATCATTAGGGAGCGGCACATGAAATCACAGTGAGACATGATTTCACATTAAAAAGGAAGAGGCAACCAGCCGGGGATGTGGGGAAATGGGAACCCTCATGCATAGCAGTGCCCACAGCGATGCGAAACGAAACAACGTAGCCACTGTGGACAAGTCTGACAGCTTCTCACAAAGTCAGACATAAAACTGCCCCGTGACCCAGGAACTCCACCACTGTGTGCTGAATACACACATAAAAGAACTGAAAGCAGGGACTGAAGCAGACATCTATACATCCATGCTCAGAGCAGCATTATTCACAACAGCCAAATCTCCACTAACAGACGAATGGATAAACAAAATACAATGGAATACCATTCAGCCTAAAAGAACGAAATTCTGACACATGCTACATGGGTGGACCTTGAAGACATACTTAGTGAAATAAGTCAGACACAAAAGGAGAAATATTATATGGTTCCACTTATACATGGTACTCAAAACACACAAATTCATAGAGATACAAAGTAGAATAGAAGTCACCAGTGGCTAAGAGAAGGGGGAAATGGACAGTTACTATTTAACTGCATACATCCAGAGCTTCCATTTGGGATGGAAGTTTAGGAAATGGACAGTTGGACACACACATACAAAAGAGAAACAGTATCAAGTGATCTGAACAAACTGAGCCCTGGGAAAATTGGCCAGTAAGAATAATTGTCCTAAAAAATTTCTTTAAGAATTGAAAATGCAATTACTAATGATAAACAGAAAAAAGTCATTTTTAATAGGGAGATATTAGAATAAAAAATAAAATTTCTGTTTCTAAGCCTGTTTCACTGCCTGTTGGGAAGCTTTCCACCTAAAGAGCATGGAAAAAAGAGGGGGAAAAATTCTATTTATGGGATACCTATTATATGTCAAGCATTCAACTCATGATTCTGCAGCTCTTACTCTACTGATTTTGTATTAAAAGTATCTAAAAGCAGCATCATTAGACTGAAGAAATAATATAACATTATTTAGTCTGCCTTTTTTACAGTTGGACTTATTGTAACAATATTGGTTGATAATGTTGATTAATGTATCAATATTGGTTCATTACTTGTAACATATACCACACTAATGCAAGATGTTAATAATAGGGGAAACTGCATATAAGGGATGGGAGTGGGTTATGGAATTCTTCATACTATCTGCTCAATATTTTTCTAAACCTAATATTGTATTTTTTTAAAAAGTCTATTAATTATAAAACAAAAAATGAAACCATAAAGAAAACATGAGATAATTCTACTAAAACCCTGGAGAAGGAAAGTCTTGTATAACTCAAAATTCTAAACACCGTAAGACTGATAAATTCAGCTATATAAAAATCAAAATTTTCTAAATGGAAAAACAACAAAACAAAGTCAAAAAAATAATGGAAGGAGTTCCCTGGCGGTCCAGTGGTTAGGACTTGGCGCTTTCACTGCCAAGGCCTGGATTCGATCCTTGGTCGGGAACTAAGATCCCACAAGCTGTGCAGCGCAGCCAAAAAAACAAAAAACAAAAAATAATGGAAAAATATACGCAATTCATAAAACAGACAAGATATGTCCCTAACACATCAAGGACTCCTAGAAATGAGGAAAGGATAGATACAGACAGTTCACAGAAAAGGAAGCACAAACAGCTCTTAAATACAGAAGAAGACGTTCATCCCAGAAAACGGTAAGAATGTACCTTTGACTCTGGAAGACCACCCACCTCAAGCCTCTTCACCTTTATGGAAAGGGGTCAAAGGGAGCCCCGACCCCTCCTTCCCAGGACTCCAAGGTTCCTTCTGCAGAAGTCAAGACCAAGTCTTGGGCACCCAACTTTCTCTATGATCCAATAATTGAGAACTTGAGAACATATGCTTGTTATTCTTGTTTAGACAAGTCCCTACAAGAAGCTCCAGACTATCCTCTCCATCATTAAACAGCTATGCATATCCATTACTCCCCAGCTTCTGCAATCTTTCCACTGGACCCTCTAGAAGTCACAGCCCATGATTAACAAAAGGCCCTACCCCTGGTCCTTTTGCTCTACAGAAAACTGGCTCTCCATGGAAGATAACACTTCTCCTGCAGCCACCTCAAGTGGTAGCCTTCTGTCTTCCCACGGCTCTTGTACCTCCGAAATGAAGGGTCCTCTTTGCTCCCTTTGCTACTTCAAAACCACTCTCCCTTCCTCTTTCCTAAAACAGCCCAGTTCAGATCTTCTCATTTAAAAAACCTCACTGCCCCCTCATCTTTCAATGATTTTAACTCCTGGCTCACTGCCACTCTCTCTAATGTTACTTCTGTCTTAACGGAAGTGATGCTTCCAACACCATTGGCTTTTTGACTCCACCTTATTATTAACCGTCAAGGTCTACAAACTCCATTTCAAGCATTCCAACTATCATCTTCCATTTCTCTAACCCACTCACTCTCTTTATACCCAGCTCTGTGCTTGCTCAGGGCGACTCACCTCTGCTCCAGCTAGCCCGTACCTTTCAAGTTCTTAGAAAGCGCCAAGTGTCCTCTACCCTATGGCATTCACGTGAAGGCTGTTTCCTCTGCCTGGGACCTCGGCTTGCAGCTCTTTGCTTCTTCTCAACTTCAAAGTCATAGCGTAAATGTTATCTCTCATGCCTGTGCTTCCCTGAAAAACCTAAGTAGGTCTCCCTTTTATTCTCCACTGAAGCCCTCTGCTCACTATCTTCTTAGACCATTACCTGTTTATTTCTATCTTCCACTGGCAAACTGTTACCATAGCTGATGACAAAGGCTGTACCTGCTTTATTCACCACTCTAGACCCAAAGCATGATACCCAGCCAGTACTCACTGTTTGTCAAAGAAAAAAACGACTGATACAAAAAGAATGAAATGAACTGAAGTAATTCTGTGACTTTAAGAAAGTGAAAGAGACCGGGAAATCAAGATCACGCTTTACAAAAAAGCCTTTAATTTTATTCCTGCTATAACTCTTCCCCTAGTTTAAATTACATTTTAAAAAATCCTAAATATGAATCAGATTCTCATTTGTTAACTAGAAAAAACTAGAGCACCTACAGCTGTTGTGATGATTAAATAAAATGTTTATAAGGCACTTAAACAAGACCCGGCAGATAATAAGCAGTCAATAAATGTTGGCTATTATCCTTAAAAGAACACTTAAAAGACTTTAAAACCTAAGGCCAGTATATTAAGGGTATGATTATTACAAAACATATGTTGGAAGAAATCTGTTTTTAGAACTGATGCTGCCCTTCCAACTTGAAGAAGTCTAGGTCAGAGATTACTTTTCCCTTAAAATATCAGGACATATTCTATCAACCTCCAGCTAAAGGTCAGAAGTACTCAAAGCCCGGGTCCAGGACAAGACAACATAAAGCCAATGAAAAATATTTTTAACAAACTCTTTCCTTCTAATTCTGTATGAATAAATCAAACACTTACTATCCAAATAGATCCCTTATCCAAGTAAAGAAAAAAGTTTATCACGTCCATTCTCAGTCAACTATATTTTTGTCTAAAGTTAAACAAAGACAGTTAAGACATAAAATAATAGCACAAATTAATCTGGATGTCAATTACAGAGTTTTAATTTTAACTT